GAGTGACAAATATTCTAAAACTGTCTTTTTTATAATTGCTTCCTAGTGGGGTTGAGACAGTTTCTCATTGTGGTTTTACTTTACATTTACTGGATGACTAATAATATAAGCATATTTTGTGCTTTTATTGGCTATTTATCTATTATTTTAAGAAATATCTTTGGTCCTTTCCCCATTTCTAAATTGAGAAATTTATAGCTTTATTATTGAGTTTTAAATGTTCTTTATATATTCTAGATACATGTCCTTTATCAGTTATGATTCTTCATATATTTTTTCCCATTCCATTGGGTTTTCTGTTCTAATTTTATGAAGTCTAATTTTTCTATTTTTTTCTTTTGATGCTTGTGTTTTTGGTAGTGTCATATCTAAGAAACTACCATCAGAATTGTCTCTATGTTTTCTTCCAAGAGTTTTATAATTTTAGTTCTAACTTTTAGATCGTTGATCTATTTAGAGATAATTTTTGTATTTAGTTTGATATGGGTCCAACTTTGTCTTTTGCATGTAGCTACCTAGTTTTCCAAATATCATTTGTTGAAAAGACTGTTTTTCCCCCACTGAATCATCTTGGCATCCCTGCCTAAAATCAATTGAACATTAAGTATAGGGTTTATTTCTATGATCTTAATTCTTTTCCATTGATCTATGTCTAATGAGTATTCCAGGAAAAACACTGTCTTGATTATTGTAGACTTGTGGTAAAATTTTGAAATCAGAAACGTAAATCCTTCAACTTCTTAAACATTGTTTTGGTTATTCTGGATCCCTTAAATTTTCGTATGAATTTTAGGAATACTTTGTCAGTTTCTGCCATAAAGCCATTTGGGACTGTGGCTGTGACTAGGTCAAATTTTTATACAAAGCTGGAGAGTATCATTGTCTTAACAATATTGACTCTCCTCATGTATGAACATAGGGTGCATTTCCAGCTATTTGCATCTTGTTTATTTCAACAATGTTTTGTAAGTTTTCAGAGTATAAATTTGGTAGGTCTTTTTGTTAAATTTATTCTCAAATGTTTTATTCTCTTTACATGCTACAAATATGTGCAAAATTTAAAAAATTAAGTGAAAGAAGTCAGACCAAAAACTATATATTATTCAATCCCATCTATATGAAATATTTTATAGTAGCATTTATTATACTACTATAAATGGGATTTTAAAATTTCATTTTTGGGTTGTTCATTTCAAATGAATAGAAATACAATTGAATTTTGTATATGTTCTTGAATTCTAAAACCTCAGTGAACTTTTTAATTGTAATGTATATGATATTAGCTGCGGGTTTTTCATAGATGACCTTCATCAGGTGAAGAAAGTTCCTTTCTAATCCCAGTTTAGTTTGTTTTAAATCACAATTTGTCAAATGCTTTATCTGCAACTACTGAGATTTTTTTTTTTATTGAACTTGGGCATTAGACCACTGAGCCACATCCTCAGCCCCATTTTGTATTTTATTTAGAGAAAGGGTCTCACTGAGTTGCTTAGTGCCTCCCCGTTGCTGAGGCTGCTTTGAACTTAGATCCTCTTGCCTTAGCTTCCCAAGCTGCTGGGGTTGCAGGCATGTGTTACTGTGCCCAGCTAGAGATTCTTTTTTAAATGTGTGATATTATTCACCAGTGAAACCATCTGGGCCGGGGCAGACTTCATTTGATTGCTGTTACTGATGAGTTGGCTCATAAACCTCACCAGTGTACTGCCTCTCTACACCAAAATCACCTTCACTGCCTGCTCTAGAAAATGCATTTGAGCTTTAAAATAATTTTTCAGTGCCTGCTTCTGCTTTGCTTGGAAACCCAAAACACCCAGCAGCCAAGTTTTCCCTGGCACTCTATTGGGCAGCTTTGTGGCAGAGGCTTCCAGGAGCTCCCTTCCAATGAATAACTGTCTTCAGCATTTCTTCAGCAAAGTTCTGGAGGGTAGACTTGTGTAAAGTTTCTCTGGCATATCCCCAGTCACTTGCTGCTATTTAATGAGCCATGGCCGGCCATACCTGTTCCCCAAAGATCTTGATCACTGCTACTTGGGGAGGGATAGAGCTCTTCTTTGCATATTACATCTCCACAACAGAGGTATAATGGTCATTCTCTTATATCTGATATTCCTGTTCTGTTTCTTTGTAGTATTGGCGATTGGACTCAGGAGTGCTATACCTCTGAGCTACATTCCCAGTCCTCCTTAATTTGGCTGGCCTCAAACATGATCCTTCTGTCTCAGACTTCCAAGTATTTGGGATTACAGGCATGTGCCACTATACCTGGCTCATTCTTGTACTCTTTAATGCTCCCTTTAATTCTTACTAGCCATTCCCTCATTATTCTAATGCCCTATTCTAGTAATTCTTTAAATTAATCTTTCCTTTTCAAAGTACTGTGTTTTTTTTTTTCCTCTTGAATATATTCTGACTGATAGACACTATGCTTTTTCATGTCCTCCTATATGTTTGGGCCTGGTATATAAAAAACACTTTATGTGTTAATCCAACAATAGGATCATGACCCATGATGTTCATAGGCAGTTTTTACTATTTTAAGCTCTCTTTTAAAATTTTTTTATAGTTGTAGATAGACAGAAGGCCTTTATTTTATTGGTTTATTTATTTTTTATGTTTGTTTTTAAATTATAGGTGGATATCTTTATTTTTATGTGCTGCTGAGGATCGAACCCAGTGGCTCACACATGCTAGGTGAGCGCTCTACGTCTGAGCCACAATACCAGCCCTTATATGATTATTTTTATGTGGTGTTGAGGATCGAACCCAGTGCCTCACACATGCAAGGCAAGTGCTCTGCCACTGAGCTACAGCCCCCAGCCCTTTCTTTCTTTTGCCTCCTTTAGGACACATATCTTGACCCCTAACCCCCAAACCCAGGTATGTAGAGAGAACCATTTCATCCTCTGTACTGGGTGTGGGAGGATGCTCTAATCAGTTTTTTTTTTTTTTCAGCCCCATAGCACTGGGTATCTGCTGGCAAAGATAATGAACTCTCCCAGGGCAGGGACCAGGATTCAGCTGCCTGCCCAGCTCAATTTCTAATCGGAGCAAATGCGCAAAAAAAGCTTTGAAAGCAAAAAAAGCCCAACTTCGCCAGTAAGAAGTGAAAAACAACTGTGAGATGTCATCTTTCCCAACTCCTAAAGTAGCAAAAATTTCTGAAAAGTAATTTCTGGAAAAGAATCTGGAAGGTTTTGGTCATTCCCTGCAGGAAATACTCGCTACAAGTAGATGAAGGCCAGAGGTATCGGGGCACATTGGTCTTGACTGCAGGGCTCCAAAACCACGAGCCTCTAGGGGAGAATAGGCCTAATCCACTTGGGCCATCCACCGGCCAACAGCCTCAGATTTTCTATTTCTCAATCACCGCGGCCACTTTTACCACCAGAAAAGGGAACACGTGTTGTTCCAAATGTGAACTATAACTGCGAACCCATCGGAAAATAGGGCAGGCCTACGCGACTTTAAGTCCAAGGAGGCAGCCCGGAGCCGCCCACAGATCCCAGGACCTCGGGATCCCACCTGCTGCACGCGGGAGGAATTCCGCCTCCCCGCCCCACGCGCTCCCACTCACCGGCTGCTTCAAGGCGCCGAGGCAGCGAAGCACCGACATGGCGGTGCTTGGCACTCGGCACTCTAGTTGAGCAGGCAGCCTTCCGGTGTGATGGACCCTCTGGGCGTCGGGGTGGGCGGTGCCCGCGAGGCGCTGGTGCTCCGCCCCCGAATTTCCGGTCTCGGGTGACTCCGCACCTGCTTTGCCTTCGAAGCTAGCTGGGTAGATCACCCGGTGCCACAGGACTGTGGGCTTGATAAGGCTCAGTCTCCACTAATAACCTTGGGGGGTGGGGGGAGACGCTGAGGGACAATTCAGGGAATATTACCGACCTCCCTTGTTTCCTCAGTGGGACTTGAGGTTATTGCCTGAGGCATAACTTTTTATCAGCCTTAATCTATGTGAGCTTGGTCATCAGTACCTACCTGCTGGTTCCAGGCCCTCTGGAGTTGAGATGGAGTGGGGAAGTAGACGAGCGCAGTTCATATCATCTCTGCCCAATGAACTCCCACTCCTGCCAGGGTGATTAAATAAGAACAGCTATTTCAACAATCTGATTGCAAAACAAGTTTTATTTCAGTTGGCCTTTTATTACTCCAAGAGAAAATGGCTCTACAGCATCTTGTCAAATTTGGAGGTGTTAGTGATGTCTATCTTAAAAATAAAAAAGAATCTAAAAATTCACGTTGGAAGCAAAGATATGGGCAGTAGCTAAGAGACATGGGTCAGAGTCCCGCCCTCTCGATCTCCAGGAGCTCTCACCACTGCGGGGGAATTTGAGCAATTGCTCACGTGGGCAACTGAAGTGTGCTGTAGAGTACGAAGCAACAAGGCTTCGTTACTTTCTCAGGCCATGTAGGGTTAACTCATGTATATGAAAAGGTAACATATTTTATTTATATTTGGAGAGGGTCTAGCGAGAAAGATATGTGTTACACCAGTCAGGTATTGTCTATTCATGTCAGACCACCATACAAACTTAGAACTACTGCTGACAGCACAGCAAATCAAATGGGCAAGACCAATAAATCATTTCCTTATTTTATTGTTTTCCACTCTGGAAACAACCAAAAAGGTTTTATTTTGACAAAGAAAAAAAAAATTCTGTTGAAAAGCCAGCTGCCTTTCTGAGCGCGAAGTCGACAGGCATGGCCTCTGGGCCCAGCCAACTTCAGTTGACTTCGTCCCTCTGCACAGCTCCTGGGGTTCTCAATCTACTCGAGCTACGCATTTCTTCTACCGGTCCGCGGACAGACTGCAAGATGGATGAACGGTTAAATACACAGTCACTACCACTTGGAAGAGGCGGGGGTGGACCGCCAGGCTGATAAAGACCAAATTTCATAGACTAAGGTCCAAGACCCAGGGATCGCACTGACGGAAACGGAAGACCCTGAGGGAGTTGGGGATTGGAGGAGGGGCAGGAAACGGAAACGGGGTACCGGAAGTGGCGGTTGGTGGCAGCTTCAGAATGGCTGAAGCTGTGCAGTTTGCGGCTGAATCTCTCGCGGGTGGCGGGGCACGAGCTGCGCGCACAGTACTTGATCAGGTGGTGCTCCCGGGTGAGGAGCTGCTGCTGCCGGAACAGGAGGATGTGGAAGGCCCTGGTGGTGCGGGGGAGCGACCGTTGCGCCTTAATGCTGGGACGCGCTCGCGATTACGTGTAGTGTGTGGCCCCGGCTTGCGGCGCTGCGGCGACCGCCTGCTGGTTACAAAGTGTGGCCGTCTCCGTCACAAAGACCCCGGGAGTGGCAGCAGTGGTGGTGTTTACTGGGTGGACTCGCAACAGAAGCGGGTGAGCTGGGACTTCGGAGGGGCAGTGCGGTAGTGAAAGTCTAATCCTGCGCCTAGGAGACTTCCTGGAAGAAGCAGGGCCGGGGCCCTGGAGCCCTCATTTTGTCAAGGTTCGCTTAGAGGCATCGTAGTCTTTTGCTTACCTCTGTCCTTTTTAGAGGGACTACGAACAATAGAAACGTTGCTTGAGAAGAGCGATCAGGAGAGAAAGCCTCTAGAGACCCTGTGTCATGATTGTCTTCAAAACCCAAAGGTCAAGAAGCTGTAGGCTTGCCTTTGGAATCCCAGAGGGCAGGACCAGCTTCAGTGAATGGAAGTCACAGGGAGTTAAAATGCTCTTAGAATAATTAAGAACTTTTATATAGAAAAAAATATCTTGACAATGGAATGGTCTTCCTTGGCTTTAAGCATCCCTGTGCTACTTACTGCTCCTGTGTGCAACAGAAGTTAGGGCTTTCTGTAATAATGCTTAAGTATGGGATATTGCCTCAAATTAACAGACTATCAGAGACTGCAAAGCCGGGCTGGGGGCACGGGCCTGTTGTCCCAGCTACAGAGGAGGGTGAAGTATGAGGATCACCGGAGCCAGGAATTTGAGATGAGCCTGTGCAAGGTAGACCCTGCTAGGTGCTGTAGTGCACGCCTGTAATCCCAGCAACTTGGGAGGCTGAGGCAGAAGGATTGTAAATTCAAGACCAGCTTCTGCAACGTAGTGAGACTTGGCCTCAAAAGGGGGTGAAGATTGCCCTGGGGATGTAGGTCCTAGATAAAAGACCCTTGCACTTGATCTCTAGTACTATGGGTACTAGGGGGGGGCGGGTGGGGGGGAGGAGAACAGAAAAAACAAAAAACCCTGCAAACCCAAGAGTTCATGTTGTGATTTTCTTTTATTGAAATAGTATCATTGTTTTATGTAAGACTTACATGAGTTTGTAAACTTGAATTTTAAAATATTTTAAACATCTCTTTAATGAAAAACAAGGACTAAGGACTTAATGAAGATATCTTCCATTGATTCCTTGTTGTTTATGGCTGTTTGTTCTGATGTTTTTTGTAGTATGTACCAGTGAAAGGAGACCATGTGATTGGCATAGTGACTGCTAAATCTGGAGATATATTCAAAGTTGATGTTGGAGGGAGTGAACCAGCTTCTTTGTCTTATTTGGCATTTGAAGGTGCAACTAAAAGAAACAGACCAAATGTGCAGGTAATGATGGGATTATTTGGTTTCAACAGTAAGAAAAATATCCATTTCTCAGAATACTTATCTGCCCCAAAGGCTACCTGAATTGTCTCCAAAGCATGAACTATTTTCCTAGTTCTACAGGATAGACTCTAAGCATCTGCTTAATGTCCTAGGCTCCAAGAGTTCTTCAGATGCTCCAGTGCCAGACCAGAGCCACTACATTGGTTCTTGTGATATTTGATCTCTAGTGAGTTAAAAGTTTATATCTGTTTTCTCCATTGTTATATGTCATGTCCATATCCATTGCACAAGGATATCAGCCATAGGCTTCAGGAGGAAAGGCAAATCATTAACATTGTCGGCCATCCATCTTGCTTAGAGGTCCTTAGAGCTGATTTAGGAGTAAACTTGTTATTGCAGATTTTCAATTTGGGCTTTTTAGATACTATAGCCATATTCTTATGTCTACCCAGCCAGAAATTTTGACTTCTATGCACCTTTCCATCCACCTTTTATAAGTTTAACCCTATTTTGATTCTCTTTGACTCTCTGATCTTTATCTCCACTTCATAAGTTCAGATGTCAGCTTCCTTTTGGCAGGACTCAGTCAGTAGTCTCCTCATTAACATTCCTGCTTATATACAAGATTCTTCAAAGCCTGCAGAACTCCTTGGCATTACACGCTTCTCTCATCCATGTTATATCCGTCATACAGCCATGCTTAACCCATACAAACATAAATGAATTATTTCCTACTCTTGTACATTTGCTCATGCTGTTCCCTCTGCCTGGATTTGATTATCTCCTCAGTCTGTAGAACACATGCTCATCCTTTGAGGCCAAGGCTAAATATACCACCTCTGTAAAGCTATCGCTAGTTGTCACTTTTATATCTGCCCTGGCAGGTAGACATTTAGCCCTGAAGGGATTTTGTTGTTTACATGTCTATTCCCTCTGTCCTCCAAGATTAAATGCTTCTGAAAGACAAAAGTGTTTTGTTCCTCTCTGGTTCTTGTAGTCATCAGCAAACAATAGGTACTTAATAAACATTTTGAGAAGAAAACAATTCATTTTCCATTTCCTTAGTTTCTTTTTTCTTTTTTTTTTTAACCATACGATTTGTTTTTATTTTTTTAGTCATACATGACAGCAGAATGTATTTTGACATATAATACATACATGGAATGTACATACATCAATCATATTGTCTATTCTGCTGCCCTTTCTATCCTCCCTATTCCTCCCCTCCTCTCCCATCCTTTCTCTCTATCCAATCTAATGTGACACACTCATTTCCTTAGTTTCATTATTTTGAAATTCAGTTCTGTGAGGTTTTTAAGCAAATCATGTATAGAGAAGTATCCGTTAACCACTATTCTATAATAATTTGCATGCCAGGTTTTTCCTTCTTCTCTATAAATCCGTAATTATTCAGAATAGTGCTAATAGAACTTTATATGATGGTTCTATTTTACATCTGCACCAATATGGTAGCTCCTAGTTACACAGGGCTGTTGAGCATCTGAAATGTGGCTAATACAACTGAGGGACTGAATTTTAAATATCTAATTTTAATTAACTTAAATGTAAATTTATATAAATACATGGGTACTGGTTACCATATTGAGCAACACAATGTTGAAGAGTATTCTTTGGCTTTGAGATGATTCCTACTCTAATGATTTCTTGGAGGGTGAAGGGAGGGTTACATGTATTAATTTTGCCTTTGAAGACTCAACTCCAATGTGGAATCCTAGGGTGTAATCAGCCCATTAGCCACAAAACTGTAGGTTGCTGGTATTGCTGCCTATGAAAAAGAGCCAATAGCAGCTTTTGTAGCATGGTATGCTGAGAGGATTCAATTATTCTTTTAATGTCTTGTAGGTTGGAGATCTCATCTATGGTCAATTTGTAGTTGCTAATAAAGATATGGAACCAGAGATGGTCTGTATTGACAGCTGTGGACGAGCTAATGGAATGGGTGTGATTGGACATGATGGTCTGCTTTTTAAAGTGACTTTGGGCCTAATTAGAAAGTAAGTCCTAATGCCTTCTAGCTTGCCTGTGTTCTTTTATTTTTACTACACCTGCTTTGAAATTTGGATTGTTAATAACATCCACATTTCTTCAGAGTTAAAAATCAATATCCATTTAGCCTATTTATAAACTCATAAATTTAGTTCTGCCCTTTTTTTTTAAAGTCAGTGTTTCAAATTTAGATGTGTTTGGCTGTGTTGTTTACAGTGTGGTGATTCATCCTTCATGTTTCAACTCTGTCCTTTTCATTTCTTCTCTACCAGAGGCCCGCTGCTCCTTATAACCAACATACTCAGCCTAAATGTGAAAACTGGCCTTTCCTCATTCTAAGTCACTTGAATACAGGTGTATCTGCATTTGTACAAAATTATCAGATTTCACTAAGGGTGGCCAAATGCAGCTAGACTGATGGATCCTCAGTTAGGTATCATTTACAGAAGGTTCCTGTTATTCTGACCTGGTAGTTCCCACTCAGGAGAGTCTCTTCATTAGGTGTTTGGATCTTTATCTGCCTAGCTGTTTACTTCTATAGGCACTGAAGTTCAGATCTATCTTCTATGCCTTTCCTTTCTACCCATTCTGCAGATTGGAGATTGTTTGGGGTGATGTTAGAGAAGCCTGTTATTTAACTAGATAGTAGTACCTTTGTACTTTCATAGAGCCAGTGCTTTTCTCCAAGCATTAAATTTAATACCAGGGAATAACTTACATGATCAGGAAAACAAATTTAATGTGTTCTCTTAATAATAAATAAAAAAATAATAATAAATACTGTTGGTAATTGGAAAAAAAAAAAAACTAATGACCCTAAAGTCCAGAATTAAGTGTTCTGACAATCTCTGGGAAGAACTTTATATATTATGCTATGTTGATGACAGAAGGAGTTTGACATCTTTGTAGTGAAGTAGCTCATTACTGTGACCTCTGGTATACCTTTGAAAAGTGTTAAAACTTCTTCGAAGAAAGGGGGCTGTGAGCTGGGTATAGTGGTACATGCTTTTAATCCAGTGTACTCAAGAAATTGAGGGCAAGAGGTTCTTGAGATCAACGAGGGCAACGTAGCAAGACCCCATCTAAATGGGGTGGGGTGGTGTGTAAAGAGGACAGTAAGTGTCATTTTATGCCTTATTCTTAGTGTGATGATGACAGTGCCTTAAATAACTTAATAGTTCAGAAAAGGAGTCTCCTTCTGAAGGATATCTAGAACACATCCTACCTTTTTATTAAATTTCATTTTTATTCCTCTTTACCACTAGGTTATTAGCTCCAGAATGTGAAATCATACAGGAAGTGGGAAAACTCTATCCACTGGAGATTGTGTTTGGAATGAATGGAAGAATATGGGTAAAGGCAAAAACCATTCAGCAAACTTTAATTTTGGCAAATATTTTAGAAGCTTGTGAACACATGACAGCAGATCAAAGAAAACAAATCTTTGCCAGATTGGCAGAAAGTTGATACATGTGGACTTCTTCAGTGGGTCATTTGAGCCAAGAGACTATGAGTTTCCTGGGAAGTTTTTTTTTTTTTTTCAGGTTAATCTCTCCCTATTAAATCTTCAGAAGACAAGATGTGAATTTTGTCTTCTAAATAAAATATTTTTATAAGAAAGTTACTGGTTTTCACTCATGTTCTTGTGTGGGTGAGAAAATTTTTAAAAAATCATGTTTGTATGTTCTATACAATAAAATTTACTAAAAAGTATCATGGCTTATTTGAAGTCAAGTCCCTTCATTTTGCTAGAGGCAACTTCAATAAGAACAAGAAGTCGGCATTAAAATATTTTCTGATCATTATGATAAAACTTCTTACCAAAGGAAATGTAGAATACATTAAAAAGTATATAGAGGTAAACACAGGTCTCCTGTAATCCCATTAGTAAGTGGAAGAGTAAAGCTAATAATGTTTATCATGCAGCATGTATTGTTCCAAGTGTTTTCACATGGATTAAGAAAGTTATTCCTAGTAACTATAGAAGACATTTATCCTCATAGTTGAAGAAACTGAGGCACAAGATTAAGCTTGTCCTATATTCCCAAGCACTAGGTGTATGTATTTTTTCAAAGTGGAATTAATTACAGGGTATTTTCTTAGACTGAAAAATTCATGATTGTTAAAATTCACCCCCTGCTGTGGCACATGCCTGTAATCCCAGCAAATCAGGAGGCTGAGGCAGGAGGATCTCGAGTTCAAAGCCAGCCTTAGCAATTTAAGCAAGGCCCTAAGCTACTCAGTGAGACCTGTCTCAGAATACAAAAAAGTGCTAGGGATGTGGCTCAGTGGTTAAGCACCACTGGATTCAATTTCTGGTACAAAAAATAAAAATCCAACAACTGTATATTTCATTTTCATGTTACAGAATATTTTGGACATATTTGGCTTTTTTGTTACACAAATTTCAACATGATGAGGATTTCTGAATTCAAGTCTGGCCAAATTTTGACAACCATTTTCTAGAAGGCAAACAAAGTATACCTGCTTGGGTTTTGCATAAATGGGAGAGGTCTGTGATAGGGTTGATGAGAAAATTCTTCCATGCTATTTGGTGTACTAACCAATGCCCTTTTAGGTTAAAACGAAGACTGGCAGATGATAAAAGCTCAGTAGTTCTGGGGTCAGACCTCTTAGAAGAGCTATGGGCTCCTTGAAGCCTACCTACATAGTCCCTTTAGGATGAAAGAGATTATAGCACTTATTCATTATGTTGGTACTGATTAAGAAGCATTATGTGTTCATAAAGATGTTTTTTGAAGGATGGCCTATTTTAGTTAAAAAAAAAAAACAAACTGATATTTATCAAATGACCATAATTCACAAAGAATTAAATGGTAAGGGATGCAGACAAAGCAAAATAATCTTTTGGTTCTGAGATAAAACATTTTCTGAATTTGCTAGCAGGTTAATTAACCCCAATTGGCAACAGTAAAAGAAGCAACTGTATATAGGACACAAGAAAAGGAAGTATATTTGATAAGAGGTAGATTAACATGCTTGCATGTCAGAACGCAACATTTTCTAAGATTCATCAATACTTTGGTTTTGTTTTTAATTTGTTACAAATATACATGAAGAATGTAGTTTGTACAAGGCTCAGAATGCAAAACTATTCACACAAATTGGAAGAGAGAGGCCCTGCATTCCTATATTCAGAACAAGGGAGTACTGGGTGAGAGCCACAGGCGGGAACAAAGTGTGCTCTGGGGGCTCAAAGTAGATAGGTCAGGTCAGGCAGATTCTGCAAAGCTTATGTGCAGCATATCACTCAGCTGGAAAAATCAGCATACTCAGAGGCAGCTGGAGAAAGTCATACAATTTAATGCCAGTTTAGTATATATAAAATAATTGATATAACAATTATTTTGCCACATAAACAGTCTTTAAAAGTAGGGTCTTTCACAAATAGAGAAGTATAAAAGATGAATTAACATATCCAAAGTCATGTAGTTTTAGAGCTAATCCTTGTTATATAATTTCTTTTTTAAAACATTGATCAGGGCACTTCCTGTGACCCAGGCACTGTGGACAATGCAAAAGCATAAAATATGGTCCCTGTCATTAGTTTATACTATGAAGATTCAAGATATCAAGTAAAGGCAAGTGTATGCCACTACTACCCTCTGCCCTTTTCTTTGGTTGAAACACCTCAGGCACTTCATCTCCTGCAGCTGCAATCTTAGGCTGCCCGTTATTCCACTGAATTTCGAAGAACATAGCCTTTTCCCGAAGAAACTCCTTTCTTCAATGCTTCAGGCCAGTTGTGAGTCTCCAAGAAAGTGGACAGGATATCAAACACTGTTAAAAGGTAAACAGAAGACAACAACCATATGAGAAAAGAGAACTAGTAAATAAATAATGAGAAAAATGGGTGTTCCAGTATATTTTATTGAACATATGTCCTCTGCATCTCACGTGGTACCAGGACGGAGGCAAAGACACAGCCTTGCCTTACCATAAGGACCTCATCCTACACTAAGATACAGGCCTGTCAATGGGCAATACTGCAATACAGAGACACAGTCAACAAAGAAGGGGCCCTGACATGGCTTGGGAGAGGAAGGAAAGTTAGCTTACATGTTCTTGAATTGAACTCTGAGGAACAAATAGGAATTCATCAATCAATAAAGCAGGTCATAGGCAAGGAGAACAATTTCAACTATCCTTAATGTAGTTGGGAAGCAGGAAGAAAATGAAAAATGCCTCTTGGTGGCCAGAATACATGTCACAAAATGCACACGATGAAGTCCAAGCATATAAGTCATAGGAGACTGAGTCAAAGGGCATTATACTTAATGCAATATAGCAGCCTCAGAACTAATGTATGTTGGGCAAGGGTCACGTAAGCAGTACCTTGATTGATAGCCAATATCTCTGAATGATAGTTTTTCCCATTCTGGAGCCTGACCATGTATTCCTGGATTGGTAAGCGGGCTGTCTTGACAGAATACTCCTGGGCCTTTTGAAACGTCACCTTCTGTAAATCAAAGTTAAATACTTTTCATATTACAAAAATTATAAATGAATTATTATCACACATATGGACATGAATGGTAATCATGTAATATGCAAAGCAAACTGTGAGATCCCCATTTATGCCTATGCTAGTTTCCACCAGTAATCACAGAGACAAACATTAAAAATATGTAGTCTAGGGCTGGGGTTGTGGCTAAGTGGTGGAGTGCTTGCCTAGCATGTGTGAGGCACTGGGTTCGATTTTCAGCACTGCGTGTAATTAAACGTCCATTGATAACTGAAAAATACATATAAAAAATAAGTATATGGTAGAATGGAAGAAACTTCAGAAAATGAAGAGTACTCATCCCAAGTAAGAAATGGCAGCAACACCTCACTTTCTGGGGACCATTTATTCACAAGCTTCCGTTTACTACCACTTATAAGACAAATAAAATAAGCAAAAGAGGCAGATCTATAGCTACAAGGCTTCAAAGAGCCTAAGCAGTTTAACCAGAGACTGCTCCTGGCTCGAACTGAGTAAGACTTGATTCTGGATATCTGGTGTTTTAAGCTCAGTCAATTGACAGCAGCAAATGAAAGAAAAGGAAAACAGGATTCAAGAAAATTAGGCAGCTGGCAATAAAGCAGCACTGAGGGGCTGGGGCTGTACCTCAGTGGTAGAGCACTTGCCTAGCATGGGTGAGGCACTGCGTTTGATCTTTAGCACCACATAAAAAAATAAATAAAATTTAAAAAAAGACAGCACTGAAGTGTAAGTTTCAACAATCCCATCAAAAGGAAGGGCAGAAACTGCAAAACAGAGTCATAAGAATCAAAAGAACTTAAAAAGTCCAACCATCTAAAGTTCCCCAGGGTCAGTGCACAGAACTGATGACTCTATGAGATGCCCCTGGGCCACAACTGAAGCTTCACAACATTCACTACCTTGTAAGAAATACAGGAAAGATTTTTTTTTTTTTTTTAACAATCTTTTTTAAGATATCAGGATTAAAGAGAAAGGTTTAGATCACAAGGATAATCTTCAAATTTGGGTTTAGAGGGGGCCTCAGCCATGTTGACTTTTATTTTACTTTTTATATTTAAAAAAAAAAACTTTTAGTTGTCGATGGACTTTTATTTTATTTATTTAAATGTGGTGCTAAGAATCAAACTCAGGGCCTAACACATGTTAGGTAAGTGCTCTACCACTGACCTACAACCTCAGCCCCTATGTTGACTATTTCACTTCAACCACCTACCCAGTGTTTGTCTATCCTTTATAACCTCTTTCCCATTGGCTATCTGGCCTCTAGATGGACAGCCATCATGACAGAGTTCATATACCCTGGGGTGACCCATTTCAAATTGATGGTACCAGATAGCAGGAAATTATCCTTTTTTTTTTTTTTTTAATATTTATTTTTAGTTTTCGGAGGACACAACATCTTTGTATGTGGTGCTAAGGATCGAACCCGGGCCGCACGTATGCCAGGCGAGCGTGCTACCGCTTGAGCCACATCCCCACCCCAGGAAATTATCTTGATATTGAAATAAATTTTCCATTTGCCTTTAGTCCTCTACTCATTTATCTAGGTCTTTTATCCCAATTAAGCAAGTAAAATGGCCCTGCCACAAGATGGCCATTCAGATACTTTAAGTCAGGGATCATTCATTCCCTATGGATGCTCTTGTCTCCAGACCGATAATTTCAGTTCTGTCACTCTTCTTTGACTATAACTTAGTTTCAAGTCCCTTCATCATTCAGGTCAGCCTCTTCTGAACTTGTTCTAGTTTGTCAACATCCTTTAATTTATGGTCCTATAACTTACTGGTCAACATGAATTACAACCTTGTGTATAAGGAGGTCTAACATCTACTCTGCTTAGATGTTGGATGTGATGGCCAATCCTGAATTGTCAATTTGATCGGATTAAGTGATACCTAAGATTAAGAGGCTTCTGAGTGTGTCAATGAGGGTGTTTCTAGGAATGATTGGCATGTGGGACAGTAACTCGAACGGGAGACCCACCCTAAATGTGGGCTGCAAGATCCAGTTGATTGGGGCCCTGAATAGAACAAAAATGCGGAAGAATGAGGAAGCAACAGTGGATGTAAACTCTGTTCTTCTTGAGTGAGTGCTTGGATTGCTGTGCAATCACCTGAGGACATCAGACTCCAGCTCTTTCACTCTTCCAAAGCAGACTCTGACCAGTAACTCTCCAGGGAGTTTCCAGGCCTTTGATCCCAGACAGAAGCTAGACCACTGGGCCCTTTTGTTCTGAGACTCCAGATTCTTGGACTGAGCAGCTACTGGTTCCTCAGCTCTCCAGCTTGCAGACTATCACTGTGGCACTATCTAGTTCTGCAATCTAGTCTAATAAATTCCCTTTTTATAATCCTAAGAATATAGATTACAGACATCTAACCAAGGCTCACGGTATTTGACAATTATTTTTATCCATTCTCATATATATATATTTTTTTTTGTACTGGGGATTGAACTCAGGAGCACTCAACCACTGAGCCACATCCCCAGCCCTATTTAGTATTTTATTTAGAGACAGGGTCTTACTGAGGCTGGCTTTGAACTCGCTATCCCCCCAAGCCATTAGGATTACAGGTGTGTCACCACGTCCAGCTATTCATATATTTTTGAGATGGACTTAACTATATTTCCCAGGCTGACCTCAGGGCTCTAAGCTCATGTGATCCTCCTATCTCATTCTCCCAAGTAGCTGAAGCTATAAGTGACACCACTGTGCCAGGCTATGTTTTTTGTTTTTTTAATCTCTTTAATTTACAACAGATGCCTTCTATTTTAGTTTCTATTACATTGGCCTTTTTTCTGCAAGATTTTTTGTCTTGCAGAATGGCCCCCAGTCTGGATTTGTCTGTTTCCTCATCATTAAATTCAGTTTAAACATTCTTGAGTAAGAATATATCACATCACAGGTGAGATTCTATCATACCAGGAGGCACACAATGTCACTATTTATGATACTGTGTTTGATCAAATTTGGATTAGACAGATTGCTTCAATTTAATAGCATATTTTTGCCTTTATAATCTGTATTATGGTACTTTGAGACCATGTAAATGGTTCCTCCACAACTTTTCATTTATCAATTGCCTGAGTTGATGACTACATTGGGAGTGATAAAAACATTAATATTCTAATTCTATTATACATCCCTTATTTATTAGCTGTGTCTTCTTTTTTAAAAATTTTTTAATACGTTCTTTTTAGATATATATGACAGTAAAATGTGTTTTGACATACTATACATACATGGAGTATAACCTATTCTAATTAGAATCTCATTCCTGTGGTTGAACATGATGTGGAGTTACACTGGTTGTATATTCATATATGAGCATAGGAGAGTTATGTCTGATTCATTCTACTATCTTTCCTATTCCCATCCCTCCTTGCTTCCTTTCATTACCCTTTGTCTAATCCAATGAACTTATATTTCTTTCCTGCCCCCCTTACTGTGGTTATTAGTTGATATTCTATAAGAGAGTCCTGCATTATGTTATAAGTTAATGCATATAAGTTAGCATTATGAAGTCATGGAACACTAATGTTTTAAAAATAAATGCAATTAAATTGAGCTATCATTTGAGCTAAATATATTTCATATATGTGCATCACACATATGGAAAAAATATAAAAACATAAAACCTACAAAAACATTTATATAAAATAGACCCACCAACATATACTTGTGGGATCACAAAACATATCAAGAAGGACACATGTTGGGGCTGGGATTTTGGCTTAGCAGGAGAGCACTCACCTAGAATGCGTGAAGTGCTAGGTTCGGTCCTCAGCACCACAGAAAAAATAAATAAATAAAATAAAGGTAATGTGTACAACTAAAAAATTATATATATATTTAAAAAAAAAAAAAAAAGAAGGTCACATGTTATGGTTTAGATGTGAGGTGTCCTCAAAAAGCTCAAGTGTGAGACAATGCAAGAAAGTTCAGAGGATAAATGACTGGCTTGAAAAAATGTCAACACAACCAGTGAATTAATCCTCAAAAAGGGATTCACTAAGTGGTAACTGAAGTGGGAGGGTGTGACTGGAGGAGGTGGGAACTCGGGGCTCTGGGGTATATATTTGTATCTCGGCAAGTAGAACCTCTCTCTGCTTTCTGATCACTGTGTGAGCTGCTTTCCTCTGCCACACTCTTCTGCCATGATGTCCTACCTCACCTCAAGCCCCAAGGAATGGAGCCGGCCTTCTATGGACTAAGATCTCTGAAACTGTGATCCTTCAAATAAACCTTTCCTCCTTTAAAATTTTCCTGGGCAGATCTTTTAATCAGAGCAGTGAAAAAGCTGACCATAAGAACACATAAGAAAACAGCGATTGCCTTGGGGAATAGGGAGAGAGAGACTTACTTTTCCCTATACTCCTTTATGTACATGTTAACTATTATATCCATTATAAAATTTAATAGCTACATAACATATATTATTTAGTAAATATAAACAAAGAAAATTATCTTAGAAAATATTTGTATAGTAGAAACAAAGTTTAAAATTTTAATAACACCCAAATTATTCCAATACAATTCCAGTTAACAATAACAAAAAAAAATCTGGACAATTTTACTGAGTTTGAAGTTTTGGAATAAGATACATATTGGCAGGGAAATTAGCCAAGAAAAAAATGGCTGATAAAAATATTGTATCAATGCTTACTTGGTCAAGATCAGAGTTACCCCGGTAGATCTGAAGAGAAGACAGAAGAAAGAAACTCAAGAATGACTATTTCTGTAACTGCCACACACTACCTATATTAATTCCTGCTTCTGACTTTTGTGAGGTTCAAGACCGCCGAACTGCTGGTGAGAAGAAGGAATGCACTGATAGAGAGCCAGGCTCTTTCCTCCTGTCCCTCTAAGCTCCAAGACTCTTTGGGTAAAATTACAACAGGGCAATCATCTATAAAAGTAAGCACTACTTTTCAAAATATAGATATTGGGGCCAAAATGTACACTTACCTTCTGAATGCTTTCATCCACAAGTCCACCAAGGATGTAAACTTTGTTTAGGTCAACATCTTGAAGAGCTAATGAAAAAATAAAGGCCATTGAGATCAAATCCGTTTTATAATTTCAAAATCCAAAGAAAGCAAAAGTAAAGAAATATTAACAATAAGTTGAAAGTTAATGAATAGAAAATAAAGATTTTAGACTTGTTCAATGAATCCAAAAATTAATTCTCTAAAAATACCAATAAAAGTCAGGCACGATAATGAATGCCTGTAACCCGAGCAGCTTGGGGGGCTGAGGCAGGAGGATCATGAGTTCAAAGCCAGCTTCAGCAAAAGCGAGTCCCTAAGCAACTCAGTGAGACCCTGTCTCTAAATAAAATACAAAATAGGGTTGGGGATGTGGCTCAGTGGTTGAGTGCCCCTGAGTTCAATCATCCCCGGTACCAAAAAAAAAAAAAAAAAAAAAAAGACCAATAAAATAGACAACCTATTGACATATCTAATCAAGAAAACAAGACAGAAGGTCTAAATCAATATTAGATTCAGAAAGGACAAAATTAAAACTAAAGAGGAACATGCAATAATTAAAAGAGAACATTACAATCAACTTAATACCAATAAATTTGAAAACTAAGTGAAATGGATGATATTCTAGAGGAAAAAATATATATATGTTGAACACTGACCCAAGAAGGGACAATGAAGAAAGCTGACCAGAGGAACTGGACTGCCTGAGAATGGAGACCCTGAATCTGTGCGGCAGTTGATCAAGGCAGGACACCTGAAGAAGCCTCTGCTCAGAAAAGGTGTACAGTTCACACCCTCTGCAAAGCAGTTCAACAAATGCCTTTTTGGGTACTTCTTGAGTGGCTTTAATAAATGGCCAGAGAATACTTAAACTAAGGGCTAGGAGCAAAGTGCTATACGAATCTGTGCAGTAAGATACATACCATGCTCTGAATCAGGAGTCAGGTATACAAGGGTTTCCAGGGGAAATAAACTAAAGCAGTCTTCTTCTGTTACATCCAGCTGGAAAATGCAAAGAACCCAATATGGTAGGAATGAGGTTAGAAGGTGGCCCACAGTTCAACAGCTAGTTACGTGGCATCTAGTTTCCATCAGGCACAGTTAGCTCTAAGTGTATCAAGAAGTGGCATGTCTGACAGTTTATTCTCAGAAAGTACTTGGTCAGGGAGCAAAGACACGTGAAAGGGGCTGGGGTTGTGGCTCAGTGGCAGAGCGCTTGCCTCACACATGTGAGGCACCGGGTTCGATCCTCAGCACCACATAAAAACAAATAAACCAAGATATAGCATCCATCTATAACTTTAAAAAAAAGACTCGAAACTATGAAGTGAGACAGAAAGTGACATGGGGCTCTCATGGAGGTACAGGGATCACACAGGACTACAGGTGAGGGAGTAACAACACCAGGGACAACCTTCTGGTAAAGGAAATGCTGGAGCTGGGTTTCTGGAAAAACAAATGGAAGAAGAATCCAAAGCAGATAGTGCTGAGAGCCAGAATTGCCTAAAAAAGCAGTAAGACAGCAATAAGACAGAGAAGTAAGGAAACCATATGTAAGTGAGTCTGTTCAGCTTACATACAAGAATTATTTAAAAAAAAAAGTATAGAGAAGTAAATCTGGAAGTGGCTGTACTACACTAGGGACTGCTCAGACAGTAACAGCAACACAGTCAGCTGCACAGTACCACAGAGCACACCCTACACACTCACAGCCTCTATGGATCTCCATAGGGAAGGCCACAAGTGCTCAGCCCCAGCTACAAAATGCAAACACATAAGGCTGTGTGTGTGTGTGTGTGTGTGTGTGTGTGTGTATTGCTGGAAACTGAATCCAGGCCTCACAAATGCTAGGTAAGCACTCCAACAATGAACCACATCCCCAGCACCCATGAGGCATTTTTAGTGTCATTTCTTAGAAACTGATCTGGATTCTCACTTGCATATCTATCATTTATAAGATCCTAGGATAAGAATTTAAAAGTACCTAATATTCCCTAAAACTCATCTGGAATCTAAACTACTTCAAAAAATATTATTTCTTTTCCTCCAAAAATCATGTTTCCTAGTTTTGCACCTAAGAGCAAGAAAGAAGTTATGGCATTTCCAAAAATAATTCTGGAGTTTATAGTCTACCATGAGCTATACAGGTAGCAAAACAGTCCTATTAAGTAGTGGTAATATTAGCTTGCCAATGCAGTGGAAAAAAATTAAATGTTAGTAACTAATAAGTTCTGAATTTTAAATTGCAATAGTGAAAAGATGTAAATTACAGTGGCCTCAGTACCCATGGTGGACTGGTTCCAGGAACCCCTACAGATACCAAAATCCAAGGATGTTCAAGTCCCACATATGAAATGGCCTAGTATTTGCATTGAAGCTAAGCATATCCTCCTGTATACTTTAAATCATCTCTAGATTACTTATACTGCCTAATACAATGCAAATGCTATGTAAACAGTTGTTATATTGCATTATTCAAGGAATAATGACAAAAAAAAAGTTCACACATGTTTGGTACAGAGAGAGACCAGCTGTATATCAAAATAAGAAAAATTTTAAAAAATTACTATTAATCCGTGACTACTTTTTAGATAATTCAAAGAACAAGCAAAAAGATTCTTACCAGGTAACTAGAAAATCCATCATTCATCCTCAAACATTCTTCATAGAGAGGACTATCTGTCATGAATCCAGTAAGGCAGATCCAAAAGGGTCTGTCAACTTTTTTGTTTGAACCATACAACCTTCGGATCTGTCCAGCCAGCCTACTTAATTCCTTCAAAGAAATAAGGACAACTCAGGGTGGAAACATGCCAAATCACTTTCAATTCACTATTGAACAATCGCTACACAAAATGCTATTCCAGAAAATCTCATGGACTAGGATGGCACCTTTATCTCTAGAAATAAGTACATGCAAATGTGTTATACACCCTGTGATACCACACCTCACAGATGAAAGTTCAGATGATATCAACCCAGAAATGATGAGTGAATGGAAAAACATTTTCCCTTCTGCTGACCCCACTCTTGCATATTTAATACATAAATTGGTTATGTCAGCTTTTTCCCCCCAATTATTTTTTCAAAAATTTGTACTTTTTAGTCATACATGACAGTAGAATGTATTTTTTTTTTAAGAATTTTTTTTTCCTTTTTTTTTTTTAGTTGCAGATAGGCACACTACCTTTATTTTAGTTATGTGGTGCTGAGGATCGAACCCAGTACCCCATGCATGCAAGATAAGAACTCAACCCCTGAGCCATAACCCCAGTCAGTAGAATGTATTTTGACATATCTTAAGTACATGGAGTTTAACTTCCCATTCTTGTGGTTATACATGGTGTGAAGTTACACTGGTTGTGCATTTATATATTAACATAGGAAAGTTATGTCCAAATCATCCTATTGTCTTTCCCATTTACATCCTCCCTCCCTTCCCCCATCCCCCCTGTCCCAATCTGATGAACCTCTACTCCCCACTCCACCCCTCTTCCTATGAGTCAGCACCTGCATATCAGAGAGAATATTTGGCCTTTGGTTTTTGGGGACCGACTTATTTCACTTAGCATGATAGCCTCCAGTCCTATCCATTTACCAGCAAATGCCATAATTTCACCTTTATGTTTGAGTAATATTCCATTGTATATATGTACCACGGTTATGTTAGCTTTTATCTTAAACTTTACCAACTGATATTTACTATTTAAGCTATTAAAAAGAAGCTGATTACTGAAATTTTTATACTTCTTCAGGAATATTTGGCATCTCTGCCCGTAACTTAGGGAGATGTCATAGGGTTGGAAGTTTTAACTTTCCACCCTCATTCTAGAATGGTTATCTTATAACCTAACTTGATTTGTTTGGTAGAGGAAAAAAGTCTTTGTATTTGATTTAATCTGCTATATCAAGTAATGTAACTAGCAGAGAATTCCTAGTTCACCTTTTCAGAGGGCTAGAGGTTCCATGTAAATCCCCAGATCTACAATTCTCCTAGTTTCTCTGAAAAACATGTTAAACACTAGCACATATAACAGGAAAGTTTGAAAACAAAGAGATTTGTTTGAAGTCTCCACTGCAGTATAAGGCCTAAAATTGAGGAACATTATATGCTGCCATGACTTCTGGTGAAAACAGGAGGACCTCAAATGACCTAATTCAAGTTCCCTTGCCAACTCTGCCCCTACAGATGAGATGAGGCTCCCCAGCTTAAAAACCCTTTTTATCAAGGGGATGCAGTATAATTCCTGTTTATCCCTGAGTAGCAGGTTTTGGTTCCCTGCCAGCTCAAGGAAAAAACTAAACGAACTAGTCATATTTTCCTATAGGAATCAGGAGACACTTCACCCCCTTGATACCACAGAGCCCACATCCCATCACCCTGGTTGCTCATTTTATTCTCAAGTACAACCCCTTTTGTGGCTTTGTGGGATGGGTAAAATACTCCTCCCTAAGGCGGTGAGTATATGAGACTAAAAAAACTGCTGTTAATACCTGTTGTCAAGTACACTTTTTGTATCTGACCATCCCCAGAACCCTAGGGTGAAAATCCCTCCCTCACCAATGGGATGAATGAGAAACAATTAAAACATACACTGCAAAAAAAACTTCCACCAGGTAACCACCCCACCACATACTACCAGGTAAATAGTCCTCTTCCCAGCAGAAGGCCAAAGATTTAGGGTCTGGAGAATTGAGCCTGAAAGGTTCCATCCAGACTAAAGACACCATGAACAGAGAGATAAAGGTGGTGGGCTCAAAACAGAAGACAAGGTAACATCTGCAAATAAACCAATGGATGTATGTTCTCTTTCAGATTCTTTCCAACAGCCATATCAGAACTTAGCCCAGTGTAGAGAACACTTTGGCTGGATTACTAAAGAACTACAGAAGCTGATGATGCATACTCTTCATGAAGGCTGTACCCTTTGGACCTCCCTCAGGTAAGCAGGAATTCCAGGCTTAGTGCATGTTCTACCTTCTTTGACATGTGATGAGTCATACTCAAATCAATACACAGTCTTGGTCCTGAATGTTTGGCCTCCAAGAGTTTCTCTTTGGTTAAGGCTCTCAGAAATCTTTTGCTGTGCTGGGGGCAGATGCCTATAGCAGAAATATCAGAAAAAAAAAGAAATGGGAAAACAGGAATAATATTCTGTAAAAACAGACTTCCCGGGGCTGGGGATGTGGCTCAAGCAGTGGCGTGCTCGCCTGGCATGCGTGCGGCCCGGGTTCGATCCTCAGCACCACATACAAACAAAGATGTTGTGTCCACCGATAACTAAAAATAAAATATTTTAAAAAATTCTCTTTCTCTCTCTCTCTCTTTAAAAAAAATAGACTTCCCTTTTATTTTTGCACATAAAGAGAATCTTGAGACTCATGAAAGGTATTCATTCATTAGATTTATGACTAGCAGAGTGGTGAGGAGTGTGGGATCTGGAGCAGACAGTTGGGTTTACATCCAAGTACGGTCTGTTCATTCATTAAATTAATTATCTTAGGCATACAATTCAATTTCTATGAGTCTCTGCTGCTTTTCTTACAAAATGGAAATAATCATTCCCTTTAGAGAGTCCAGTAAAATTTTTAGAACTGAACCCAACACATAGTACTGTATAAATGTTAGTTGCTGCTGGAATCTTTACTTCTGAGTTTATAAACACATATGTCAACCAGACTACTTATATTTAAAAAGCAGCATTCAATTTTGCTTTGATACTTTGATGTCCAACAAAATCAGATAATGGGTCCTACCTCCCAGATACTTGTTTTTCCTTAAAACATAATTCCTACTCTCCTAGGAACATGAGGACATGAGTTTGCTAAAAAATAAATGATTACATCAATAATCTCATTAATCATTACCTGGATTTTCTACACGGTTGGCTTTTCTTCTTTCTTTTTCTTGCTTTCTTTTGCTCTTCTTTGCTGCAACTATCTTTTCCCAGTGTCTCTGTTTTCTCTGGACATTTTTCTTATGTTATCCAGAAAAAAAATTGTTTGAGAACTTCATAAGCAACAAAAAGGAAAATGAATATTAGAAAATTATATTATTTTTTAAAAATTATTATTTACAGGTAAAGTTAGGAGAGAAAAAAAGATCTCATCTTAAAAACAAACCTAGACTGGACTGTTTAGAGAAAATACAGCCCTGGAAAAGATATGTGACCTAGTCAATGTCAGTAAAATTCATCAGGGACAGGACCTAACCTACAGTTTAGATTCCCTGACCCTTCTCAGGTATGTAAAAAAATTTCTTTTGAACTTTATCTACTTTTCCCATGACTCAAATGAAACGGAAATATTATGATGAGCAGAAAACTAATTCACTATTTTAAACATACAAAAATCATTCCCAGTCTCTTTTTATTACTAGTAACTACCCCTGAAGCAGGGGTCTTGGGGACAATCAGTCCATCACTGAAAGCCCCCTGCACTCACCGAGCACCATGTTGCACTGCTTGTGGGGAGGGGCTCCCTGTCTGGGCAGTCACATTCCACATCAATCTGCAGAAGCTGGAAGCTTTCAGAGAGTCCATCTTCACCTATGTCTTCTAGGATGCCTTCTTGCCCCTGCAACTCTGGTGACTCTGTTCTCTGAACACTCCTTTCCAATTTCCAGTCCATGTGCCAGTCTCTGTCCTTTCAACCAGATTGGAAAAATACAAAATTACGTGAGATAATACACTATTTCACTTACAAGGCTAATTTCCTATATCCAAAAGATAAATAGTACTACTGTGCTGCTGATGGAGCAAACAGGTGTAAAATACTGACCCCTATTTATTGACCTAAGAAAAGCATGTGTCTTTCAGAGAAATATCCAGCACAGAAGCAGGTAGTAAGGAAGCCAAACATACTTTTTTGAGGACAAACATATTTCCTGACATCTCCAAGCAATGGGTGATTATTCCTTTTTACTGTGACACAGACAACCAAGTTATTTATTGTGTGGATGTTCTTTCTGAAATACACTGTATGACTATGTTTCAAACAATTTACTTTCAAACCAGTGATTTAACAAGTACTTATTAAGCATCTACTACATACAAGGTCCTATACTAAAAACATCATGGGAGAATGAAGAACCAGCCAAAAAATATGGTAAAAGGTCATGAAAGCAATCAAGAATTCTTCTAGGTTTTGGTGACTATCAAAATTCTTCAAACTATACACCACCCCCTCCAGCTGTGTGTCACTGCAGCTGAAAGCCAGTCACCAGTGTGACTGTTTAAATATCCCTTAGAAATGCTTTGTTGGAAAATATGGAGAAGCACTGTAACAGCTCACTTAAGAAATGATGTCATGATTCGGGTAATTTCTGATCTGAGAGAAAACAGGTCAGAAATGTTCTACAGTCAAGTGTCAGAGACCAAGAGTGGCACAAATAATGCCCCTGACTTGTTCAATATGCGATTCATGTATATGATAAAAAGACCTATTTCTGATGAAAAGTAATGATCTTCCGTCCCACCTGCTTCCACCTCTAGTGGCAACCCTCGTTAACCAGTTATTTTTAGTTCTAACTCCTTAGCCTTGAAACTATATGCTTACACATGACTTCTTGATTCATCTGCTTTGAACTTACCGGCTTCGAATGATACTTCAAATCACTTAAGCAAATCCCCCTCACATTTTACATCTTTTATTAGTTTTGTTGGTTTTTTTTTTTTTTTTTTTTGCTGTTGTTGTTATTGTTTTTCTTTCTTTCTTTTTGCGGAGCTGGGAGTGGAATCTAGAGCCTCGCGCATGGTAGGTAAGCACCCCACCAGCACTAGAACACCCAGACTCCAGACCCGGGAGCACACGGGTCCCTCCTGCCCCGCAGGCCACGAGCGCGAGCGCGAGGGGTGGCAAGAAGAGGAAGCAGTAAGAAGGCAGCGTACCGCGGCCACTCGACCTCAATGCCGCCACCGGCCAAGAGCATGCAGGTGCTCGCATACTGAGCCTCTTAACTCCTATCCCACCGGAAACGAGCCCCGAACATACCTGGGACCAACGCCTCGCGCTGCAGCAGCGGCGCCCATCTGGCCCCGCCCCGAGCCCACTTCCGGTTCCGGATCCCGCTCCGAGCAGCATCCTGGGAATTGTAGTTTTCAACTTGGCAGCAAGCTGCGCAATGATCTATTTTTTTAAAAATTTTTTAACATTTATTTTTTAGTTGTTGGTACACAATACATTTATTTTATTTTTGTGTGGTGCTGAGGATCGAACCCAGTAATTCACGCATGCTAGGCAAGCGCTCTACCTCTGGGCCACAATCCCAGCCCTTTTTAAATTTTTTTAAAGTGGTAGATGGACACAATACCTTTATTTTCTTTATTTTTATGTGGTGCTGAGGATCTAACCCAGTGTCTCACACGTTTTAGGCAGGCTGTCCAACACTGAGCTACAACCCAAGCCCCGCAATGCTCTTCAGAGCCTAGATTTCCTCATCTGTTAGTCGAAGATTACGATCCCAGACACCTGCCAAAGGTGCAGGGCTCCTGTAGGTGACCAGGAGCCTTGTTGGCTGCCAAGGGCTGATCATTGCAAAACAGGTGAAACCATGTCTCGAATCACCACCATCTCTCAGCCTAGCGCTCCCCAACTCCCCATAGCCAACAGGGTCCACAAGCTGACACCGCCCTTCTCTGAGCACATAGCCTCTGGTCACTCTCCCTCCTCCATTTCCCTTCATACATCGATGGGGACACTGAGACTCCAGAGACATGAAGTGACTTGCCCAAGCCTTGTCTTGATAAAGACTACTAGCTACTCTTTCCTTCACTCCTGCAGTCCTGGGGGAATGCCCTTTCAGAGAGACCCTACCATAAGCAGGCCAGAAATATCTCCTCAAGAAACTAAGGCCTGGCTGGAGCCCTCCTTGGCCCATTTTCTCCTCTGGATTTCGTTTGCACAGTTCCCTGCAACCCATGCTTCAATCCACTTTTTAACCACGAACACAAAACATTGCTCCCCAACCCCCACCCCCATTAAGTCTTTTTCTAAAACCCAGCACTATCAGCTATTTGCTCAGAAGCTGGCCCTGGCTTCCTACTGCCTGCTTGCAGTGCCTTGGTGAGGCCTGAAAAGTGGTTCAAATGACTTTCAATGATCCTTTCATGACTGAGCTCACACCACACCTGCCTGTCCCTATACTTCAGACTCAGCCATATTGAATAGACCCATCATCACCACCACCAAGCTCTTGTGTCCCTTCATCACTGAATGAGCTCTCATGGCTACTCTCCCATGGAAAACAAAGACATTCTGGCTGGTGTCACTGCTTTCCCATCCCCACCACATCTCTTTGCTGGATGATTATGCATCCCCTACTCCAGATCCCCCAGTGGCTTCCCAATGTACTTACATGTAAAATCCAACCATCTTCCTAAGGCCTTGAACTAATAGGTTCCTGCCTGCCCCCCCACTCTCATATCCTCTCTGTCTTCCTCCCTCCAGTTCCACTCACTGGTCTTGAAATGCCTGAAAAACACCAAGGGCCTTTGCACATACTGTTCCCTTTCCTCTCACATTTTCCATAGTTGGCTTTTATTTAGGTCTCAGCTCAAATATTTCCAGTTCAGAAGGGCCTTTCCCATCTACACTAGGTAAGACAAGCTCTTCCTATCCCTGTCTTGACACCTTCTTTGTTTTTAAAAATCACTTTTCAGTCAGTAATTTATTTTTTTAATATTTATTTTTTAAGTTATAGGTGGACACAATATCTTTATTTTATTTTTATGTGGGGCTGAGGATGGAACCTAGTGCCTCACACACACTAGGTGAGTGCTCTCCCTCTGAGCCACAACCCCAGCCCAGTAATTTATTTTTTTTCCTCTTATTCCTTCTAACTATAAGTTCTTTGAACATGTCTGACATGCTCACATTTGTATTCTTAATGCCACTGCATAGTAAATATTTGTTGACAGAATAAATTACTTTTGTCCTTTCTTGATAGATCCAAATCCTAACTACCAAATCTGGGGCCTGATACATAGTAGATACTCAATAAATACTTCCTGACATATTAGTTCTAATGAATGCCACCTCCTACAGGAAGTCTTCTCTGATTGCTGCTCTGCTTCTCACCCCCAAAATGACTTCTCACAGCACCTTACCTCCTCTCTTTGGTAACCTTGAGTACATTGTGCCTTATGTTTTCAGTCTCTTTCTCTATATGCCATGTAACCTCCAATAGGAGCTCTTGAAAATAGGATTCTCACCCAATTACTTACATCCATAGTCTGGCGTCAGGCATCACCTGGCATGGGTGTTCCATAAGTGTTTGTTGAGAGACAAAAATCAGTTGATACGATGGTGGTTGGGAAAAGAAAGGAGGGGTATACATGTCCAGCAATTTCTTAGTCATTAAACAAATGACTCTTGCACTGTAGGGTAGGTAGCTTCATCCTGCCTATCTCATATGTCTCAAAGAAAGGGCCGACTTTCTTTGAGACTTCTCCTGCATTACCTTCTCAACAAGCAGCGAAGAGTTCCCACCACTTCTGGGACTTAGTTCTTCTCATGGGAACTGTCCAGAAAAAGACCATCTCCATACAATTACTACCCAAGAAAGGTGAAGGATTTGAAAGGATAGGAGGAAAAGAAAGAAGAAAGCACATACTTCCTGAGTGCCTCAGCTGGAGGCTTCAATCCTCCTTGGCCTCCATGACTATTCTCACAAAAATGCTGAATATATAGTATATAACAATCCCTGGGATATTGGTCATGTTAAAAAATGTTTTCAGGCTATCTAAAGGAATGAGTTAGATATTATAACCCTAAGTATATGTATGAAGACAAGAACGGTGTGAAAACACGTTGTATACACTCAGTGACTTGAAAAATTGTGCTCTGTATGTGTAATATGACATGAATTGCATTCTGCCATCATGTGTAACAAATTAGAATAAATAATTTAATAAAAAAGGTATTCAAGCTATCTAAATAAGGCATCTGTTCTACTAACTAAGTGGAGACTAGTATTATTTCCTTTTGCCAGATGGGGAAACCGAGGCCCAGAGAAGTGCCTATAACACCACAGGCCACAGCCAGTATCCAAGCCCTGGTTGAGAGAAGTTCTAAGCACCTTCCCTAAACTCATGAACACATAGGCTCTGTTCACATAAATAAGTTAGTTGACTCTTTATATCCTTCTAATGGAGAAAGTTTCAAGTCCTTTTTAACATCTTATGTCTAAAAAAATTAATGCCCTATTGTTCCTATTTTCCTTACCATTAAATTACTTCAAATTTGTGTTCAAGAGCCTCATCTAAATTGTATTCAAAATATTATGTGGAAAGAAATAGCCCTCTAAGAAAATAAATCTTTTCTTGGTGCAAGTACTGAACAGGTAGTTACTCGTTAACAAGTAACTGAAAATGGTTCAGGAGAGAGATATCTTTCTCTCTTCCTCCAAGTATTGCTTTTCTGCTGACTGCAGAAAGCTGAGGAACATGATCTAACATACTCATCCCTGATCTTGCTTTTGCTAGGTGAAGGGGAGGAACCAGGGAGCCGACAGAGGGGAAGCTCTGAGCTCACAATTGGTCAGGAGTACCAGAAGGACAATGGCACCCCTTTAGTCACCTCTATTAGCCCAAGGTGAGCCACTGAACCTGGAGAGAGAACCAGGGCAAAACATTTCTCAAAGGAGTCTTTAATGTCTCCCAGAAGTCTAAGAACAAAATGTAGGGAATGGTTTCAGACTAGGAGAGCCATTCATAAATGTTGAAAGTTATTACTAACATTGATTGAGAATCTATTTCCTAGATCAATGTCCCATAATATGGAAAGTGTCAGCATCTCCAATTATAGAGCGTAAAATCAAAACACTGAGAGGTTAAATAGCTTGTCCAAGGTCCACTGCCGTTTACTAGGATTAACTGGTTCAGCTGGGATTAGTTAGAAAGGTACTGAATGTATTTCTTTTGACCTAATATTATTATTTAAAAAGCACATCTAACTGGAGCTTTAGAATTTGCCTTTTATATATTTAAAAATGGAAATGGGGGGGGGCTGGGGTTGTGGCTCAGCGATAGAGCTCTCGCCTAGCATGTGCGAGGTCCTGGATTCAATCCTCAGCACCACATAAAAACAAACAAATATATTATGTCTAACTAAAAAAATATATATTTGTATATATATAAATATATATATAAATATTATATATATATAAATATCTATATGAAATAGATTCAAGATTCAGGGATGCAATTTCAGATCAAATACAGAATACACCTGCCTGAGGTTGGCTGTACAACTAAGGAACTTACTGTCACCTAGTGGCAACCTATGTTGCTACAGTGAGACAGCCAAGAACACCAGGCCTCCTTGGGTGGGTTGAAAACCTGGGAAGGTAATCCATCCAATATCACCCCATATGCGAAGTTTGTTGTCAAAAGCAGTGTGACATGAGAATGTATGACTATGTTTTATAGTCGCCTCCATCTTTCTCCCTCATTCCTGCCTATTTGTAATTCTCAAGCTACTAATACAAGGCCTGGCACAAAATAAGTATCCTGTGAATGTTTGTTGAATGAATATAAGTGAGTGCTTTTGACCCATACTTGTTATCACTCAGTATGATTCAGGTCAAGATTAAGCAGCAGTTTATTTGAATACTCTGTATAGTAAACATTTGAATGGGGGCAGGGGGACTGGAAGGGGGTCCTTGGGGAAGTGTCCATGGAAGGGAAGGAGCCCCTGGGCAGTTGACCTGCTTATAGGGCAGTGGATGCCCTGAACTTCTGGGTCAAACAGAACACAGCAGCCGTGAGGGCTGTGCACTGACGGGCCAAGAGTTTCACACTCAGGTCATGATAGCCTCTCTCACAGGTCAGTTTTGCAGCCTCCACGAACTGGTGGTAGGTGTACACCACATCCCTCAGGTTCCCAGCTGCTTCCCTGTGCCGGGCAGAGCAACGGCTGCAGTCTGTGAACTGGAAGCACAAGCCAGCCAGCTGGACCAGGTGCTGGAAGGTGTCACACACAGCACCCTGCATCTCTTCAGGGGACTGGTCCATTCTGATCACATG